AACATGAAGGTGTACGGCCGTAGACCCTTGTAAGGCCGTACACACCTCTTAGGGCCGTAAATCCTTGTGGATGTTCATAGTTGGCCTTAAACTCTCCTTAAAGCTAAGCATTGGACCAAGAACACTTCCTTGATGCTAGATAGGACCTTAAAACACCCCATTTGCATACTTCTTCATGAGTGTACGACCGTACACTCATGGGCCATGAACCCCATGGCCGTACACACCTTAGTGTGGCCGTGAACCTCCCTTATTCAATCATATGTGATTTAACACTTAGCTTCAAGTGTGTCCTAGTCCCTAGGGTGATTCCCTATCATAACTAGCTGTGTTATACACTAATTTGATACAAATATGTGTCATTATATGCTAAATAGGATCCGTGTATACTTGAGTCTTCACTTGATAGTTAGCATCCTACAACCAATCTTACGTACGCATCACTCGCAGCAGGTGAGTTCATACCCCTACGCTTTTACGATTTTTAATGTTTTCAGGGGGGGGGGAATACAAGCCAAACACAAATGATTTTAAGAAGTTTTAAACTTATTAATACAGATAAACGATTTCCACGTTTTTATAAAATATTTAGTTATTTTATCCCTTTTGTACTATCCTGAGCATAAGGGACGTTTTCAACGTACAACCATAATTGCATAGTTTTCAGATCAATATACGAACTGAATACACAATATACATGCAAACTATAATAGGTATAGTTTGGGGTTTTTAATACACAGTTTTTACGAATTCAGAGTTATACACTGCTGAACATATAAACTATGACAGATTTAGTTTATGATATACATTACTACAAGAGTACAATATTTAATAATTATTTATGTATAGCTATTACCTTATACAGTATTCAACGGATTCAAATACAAAAGAACAATACAGAATTACACGTAAACTAGATTATACAGAATTGTGAGACTCTACTTCAAAACTGTACCCTTAGGTGTACTGAATTAAATCCCATCATAGTATAACCAGAGTCTCCTGGAGGGAGAGCGTGAGATTTGTGAATAGATCTATTCGGGACTGACAAACCCACACCTGAACTGCTAGCTACAGTTAGGAAGGCATGCCTGAGGTGACAAATGTCATGTAACCGACGCATGAAGAACGTTGTAAAAGTCACTAGGTCATATCAAGCATGGTTATACGACTCAAAATAGTATAAACTAATCATTTGTTTACAGGATTTCATTCTTCATTGGTTTTATTTTAAGTAATGAAACTACTTTTACATACTGATATTAGCCAGAGTTTTTCATACAGAACATACTATACACAGGTTTTTGTACAAGAATACACACATATTACGGTTGATAGTAACTAGATATGAAAACTAACGCTTTTTCTATACTACAACAGAATACAGTAACAAACATTCATAGTTAATTCTGTAATTCCTTAGTTTATGCATCTAGGCTATGTGTGAAGAATATCCGACAAACCATGGAATGTGTGGTTTCCGCCTCATTTCCTGTTCCTTGATTGGTTGTGGACTTAGGGCAGATCCACACAATCAATCGTCTGTTTGATATTGGTTTAAACATAGCTAGTATGAGCTAAGTAGTTATAAAAAGAATTGGTTAATCATGCATTCAATAAGAAAATAATGGATTTTCTTGAGGAACACTTTTAACAGATATCAAAGGACCAATACAGTTAACTTTGTAAGTATCTAGTGAATACTTCAGGATTATGTACATAAGGATCCGACAACCAGTGGAATGTGTGGCCGCCGCCTCACTTCCTGTTCCTTGTTTGGTTGTGGGCTTGGGGCAGAATCACACAATCGATTGTTTGTTCGATCTGGATTGTATATGATTTGTATACACTAAGTACTCGCAGTAGGAACTGGTAAGAATCATTTTTACTTAAGCTTTATACATGGCTAGCATAAACTAAGTCGTCGTAGATAGAACTGATATTATCATTTTCACTAAAGAAAATATAGGATTTTCTTGGAACCATGTGAACATTTTTACAGAGTCATCAACAAATTTTCATTACAAAACATCGCTTATGAACTCACCAGCTTTATGCTGATACTCTTTCAAAACTGCTTGTATTCTCAGGAAATCAGTAGACAGGTACCTCCTGGAGTTTTGAGAAGACGGAGCGTATAGAGTCTCGTCTTTCTATTTTGATTATACTTTTGATGTATAAAACAAGAATTAAACAGATGTAAATCCTTTTCATATATCTATTCAATGTAATGGTTGTGTTTACTATGATTGCTATGATACAATTGTTGTGATACTATCATCCACCCCCGAACGTTTCCGCCGTTCCGGTTTGGGGGTGTGACAGTTTTCTTGGGGACGAAGGTGGGTTGGAGGCTGATGAAAGAAGGTAGGTTTAGGACTTATGGATGCTTAAATAGGGTCCAAACCCTAAAAATTTGGGTTTGCACTCTAGCCACTTATGCCCAACGTTCGTGCCCAATTCCTAAAAATTACGAAAATGCCATTTGGGTCCAGTTTAACAATTAATTCACATCCAAGGTCTAAAATGAAGTAAATTCTTATACTTAGGGTTTAAAATGAAAATACCTCAATATCGAGATGTTGCAGAAGGGGTCGCCATCTTGCTACCAAATTGTGATGCTTCCTATCAAGAAACACAATCACTATCCTTATCCCACTCCAACTTATAATCTGGCAAACTCTATATTCTATGAAAGTGGAGGTTTGTTGGACAATTAACCAACGACTTATCCTACTATAACTCCATTCACCATCGTTGGCTCATCCCACTTTACTATTATCGCATCGACTTCGTTGCACTTATCGTCACCCTTTGTTGTTATCGCGACCATGGATGCGGCTGTTGGTTGTGTGGCTTTGATCTAATTATAGGTCGTGGTTGTGAATCTAAAATGAACTTGGAAAGAAGATGAAGATGGTGGTTATGGTTTTAATGAACTGGAATGAAGATATCGGTTGCAAGGGATGGTTGTAGGTTTAATGAAACCTAGGTCAAAGATGAAACATGGTATGCATACCATATTCATTTTTTGGGTTTTATTTGTTTTTGATTCGGGTATGATTTTGTGAATCTGGAATGAAAAATCAAGATAAATCACTATTTTTTTTTATTTTGCATCAGTGTTTTTTTTTCATACAATTTTGATTTTGTAAATTTGCATTAATATTTGTGGTTGATTAATTTTGCTTCTAGTTTTGATTATGTAAATATGCTTGAGAAGATGATCAAATGGGAGGAGAGGGACGTCAGTGGGGTTGTGGTTTGTGGTTGACTGATGTTCAATAAAGATGTGTCTGAGAAGAGGACCGAATGGAAGGGAGAAACGGTGGTGGGGTGGTGGTTTGTGGTGATGTGTTGGTTGCCATTAATAAATATAAATGATTAAAAAAATTTAAAAGTAATAATAAAATGATAAAATAATAAAATGGGGTAGTCTGGTCATTTTACATGTATTTAATGGAGTTTTTCTAATAAATTTAGACGGAAGGACAGTTCATGTAATTTTTTAAAACCATGGGTATGTTAGCTATCAACTTTTCAAAGTTTGGACTAAATCTAGAATCTGACCAAATTATAGGGACCAAAAGTATAATCTACTCTAGTTTAAAAATGTGATAGCTTTGAAAACATAGAATAATGATTCTTTGGAAGGATAGAGGGAGTTTCTAAACTAAAAAATGTTTGGAAGCTTCGATGCACACGGAAAATAAGCGGGTTTTCGTGGTCCAACATCACATGGACACATGTCCTTTCTTTATTTCCTGTATGTGCTTTCAGTATCATACCAAAAGTTGACGGATACTACTATTTATCTTATTTTTTATAAGTAATAAAATAATTAAAAATATTTTAATAAAAAATCGTAAATTATATAACTTTTATGTCCACAAAAATAGTTGACGTTTTGTAGATTTCATTTTTATATATAGTTTTACATTTCTTTATATATATATATATATATATATATATATATATATATATATATATATATATATAATGCCTTTTCACAAAGTATAGTTACATATAAAACCGGATAGTGAAATCAAATAACAACTACAAATGTATAATAAGATAAAAGAAAAACAATTATCTTAATTTCAGTTTGATTATTCAAGTTTAAAAATTTTCAACAAAGACTGAATTTGTTAAATATAATTGTCATTTTGTAATTTCCAATTTCACATTTATAGTTTCTTTGGCCACGTTACTTTTATCCGGTTAATTAAAAGTTTAAAATATATAAAACTTTGTTATATAAATACAAATCCATTCATGTTCACAAAAATAACTTTGGAATTGAAAATACCAGTTCATCTGTATAGTTCTTTTAAACTTATTATTATTATTATTATTCAAATATCCGAATATTCAAAAACAAAAGAATACTTTTACACAAAATACCGATAAACTTTCCCACAAAGTACATATAAATTATAAACTTTTAAATCTTTACACTCAACAAACATGACTTTGAATTAGATAAAGATACATGTTAAATAAGATAAACATTTAAGTGAAGTGGAATCATTAATCTTATCCATTAAGGTTAAATATGATAACAAATTTATATTTTAAATTCCGTTAACAAAATTTAAAAGTATCAATAAAACACTTTTACTTGATAAAAGTTTGATTTATAATGATATAAACTAAGTTAGATATAATTGATAAACAAAAACGTTTTGAAACATGTTATAAGAATGAATATTTTTATAAAATTAAAATCATAATATTTTTAAATTATATTTAATGCTGAGGAAATTTCCTTTTTTGTTTTTTTTAATGAATCATATCATCATACGATGACACTACTTTCCATAGTCCACACACCCATATAAACCCACACTCATATTACGATTCTCCTCCCCTCCCACTCCATTGCAAATTCCTGCATATTCGTTTTGCCCAATCTCTCGTAATTCAAAACCCCCAAATTTCGGGATCAATCTTACAATATATCCTCATACTCATCCTAATCGAATCCCGATAGGAATATAATGGAATCTCAACTAATAAATCTCAACAAGCCTACAAAAGGCAAAGTCAACAACAAATTATTCTTCATCGGGAATCGAGAGTGTTTTTCGTTTCGAGTTATCGAGATGGTTCCAATCGATTCTCTCACTTCCTACACCAGTTTAAAAGACCTTCTCTCAAGTGCTACTCCATCTCCGGTGGATTCTCCGACGAAATTTAAACGGATTGATAGTTGGCGAGAGATTCCGATCAAGGATCCATTGTTGCAGCATGCTGCTTGGGCGTACCTTCAGCCTATGACTTCTGAGCCTGATTCCGATCGCCGGTGCTGTTTTGGGAGGTTGAAGGATTGCTTTAGTGGTATTTTTCCACGGCGTTAACGGTGACGGAGGATCGGCGGCAGTGGCTGGAGTTGACTCGTAAGCGCTTTTTGAAGCTTCGGTTGATTTAAATTTAAATTTTCTAATTTTGTGTATATATTTTTGGGTGAATTTTTGAAATATTTTTCATATATGGAGTATTCGAGGATATAGAAACTCACTTATTTTAAGTAATTTCTTGTTTCATGCATAATGAAGTTTCTAGTTTTAGAGCATTTGTGCTGGAGTAGTTTGTACATTATGCAACGAAACTTATACAATCTTATGGATTTGCTTTTTTTTTTTGTTACATTGGGGTGTTTTGGATTGTTTATATATTTTAGAAGAATTATAATATTTAAGTTAATATCATCTGTTTATTTATTGTAATTCAGTAAATAGGTGATTTTGAAATAAATTCAAAAGTGGATAAATAATACATACATCATTGAATATACAACTCGTACTTCTTTTTTCGAATTAGACATGGGAGACTGAATAATTAAATTTAATGAAAATATTTCAATCTTATATTAAAATCCGTAAATTTATGTTAATATATATAATCTTAGGAAACAAAATCAATGTTAGCAAGTTTTTAGGTATTTATTTTAGATAACAATTCTTTTTGAGCTAAGTAATCGTTTTAAATTTAATAATTATTATTTCTATCAAAAAATAAAAAATATACCAAAACATGAAAGATGAATATAACATAGGTTGAAAGATATGGTGAAAAATAAAAATATGATGATATGACATTAATATGATTATAAAAGATAAAAGATGAGTTTAATATATATTGTATGTCTTTTCATGGGTTATATAGCCTAGCGGTATCCGGTGTTGTCCTCCCTCCGTGAGGTTGATGGTTCAAGTCCCGTCGTGGACATATGTGGATTTAAGGTGTAGTTTAGGAGTAGGTTAGATTTGCATTTTCAAAAATAAATAAATAAATAAATAAAAGTAAAATAAAATAAAATATTTGGATTACCTTGTGATATCAAAACCTAATATGTTAATAAATTATACTTTTAATGTTTGATAATTCAACTTAAACTAGTAAAAGAGCCTGAGCTTCGTCCAGGCCAGGTATTTTAGTTTTTTATTATTTTCTTTTGTATTGTGCTTCAAGAATGAAATACATAAAAAGAAAAGACAACTATATTTGACAACTCGACGATTGAAGCAACCCAACTCTGTGAAATTGGGATGCTATGATACACAAATAAATAAAAAGATGTTGCTATTTCTTGCATTTAGCCATTAGATATCATATTAAAAACCATAATTAGATGCTTAAAATCTTTACATAAGGGTGTCTATGTCTACCTTCCTATATTTTCCCTATTACAACATCGTACCTTTATTTTTTCCTATTACATCATTGTACTTTAAGAAATCCACCCAGTTATAGCAATTTTATCTAAAAAACAATCCAACAGAGTTTCTCACACCACTTCGTGTATGTAGTTTGCCATGGAACAACCACTGGTTTTTCAACAAATTCTTGACTATCATATGTTAATGTTGACTCTGTTTTGACATTCACCTTCAAATTCACATTATTACCAACACCATACACAAAACTACATACCACTATCTACAATTACAAACAATGGACTCACAACATTTCATTGCATTGTTTTTAAATTTTAAAAAAATAATAATAAATAAATAAAATCATACCTGCACCAAAGTGGATGCGACAAGGGCACCACCAATTACACCTCCAATGACATTACCATCACCTGTACAGAGTAAGATATTGAGTCCGCCAGTTCGATTATGAAGATCATCATTTTCAGAAGGTAGATATGAACCTGATAAGCATAATATCTCAAAACGTCCTTATATATATGATGAGATTTACAAAATAAACTTAAATCATAAGTGAACAATGAAATGATATGGTTTAAGTTTAATCTCATATGTTACAGAAGATGTAAATTGGTGTAATGTGATTGTAGAAACAGTCCCACTGCCTGACATGATGCACATATCCCTTGTTCTTGGTTGTGAAAAAGTCGATATCTTGTCAACAACATCCTGAAAGATATACGTATAATTTCTTAAATCTCAATCAATAACTTTTTCATAAGCACTTTAGAAGATACATATAAGGGATATTAGTATCACTTACTTCTCCGATTGATACAATGATGATGAAATGTGTAAAAGCCACTCCTGCTGAATTATTCATCCATTCTTGGGAAAACACATTTTACATTTTGTAGTCCACTATGCATCACTTCATGGAAGATTACAATACATATAAGGGGTATCGGTAGTACTTACAGTTAATGATCCAAATCATCAACAATAGCCAACAAATTTCATTTGTTTATCGCAAAACGGCTGAAACATTTGTAATCGTGTGAGAACCATTCCAAAAACAGAAGAAGAAGAGCTATCAGAGAGATATTCCAATACACCACATGCATATATTCTTAATGGTTCACCATCATCAACTGCTATACATGTTTCTCATTATGCTTTAACAAAGCAAACATCTCTTCCACCTCTTCCAGTTCCAGATTTAGTCGTTAACATTAATTTAAAAAAATGATCATAGAATAAACGTAATTCTAGGGGTAGAAATACAAAACTCCCCAAAAAAAAGATTGACCTCTAAAGTTACCCCATTAAAGCCGGAGGCGTTAGAAAGGGAAAAGTCAAAGTAGGAGGTGGAAAAGAAGAAGACAATAAGATCAAATATTATTTTCATTAGCACCAAGTCGAATCCAAACTAACTAAAATTAAAATCATCCTATAAAAATTGGGGCAGAAATCGAAGATGAGAATTGTTCGACAGAAGTTTCTTGCACACAGAGGATTTGATCAATTAATTCAATTTGTCCAAACATGAAGCCGATTTATTTGATTGGACCAAACATAAAGCATATGCGGTACAAGCGGTACGAAGCAACTACAAATAACAAAATCAAACCCAAAGTAGAAAATAACAAATCGTGAGTAAATTAAATCTCAAAATCCTATTGAACAACCTCTATTAAATAATTGAATTCGACTAATATAGTTCAATACATATCGATTGAAGGCAAACGGGCAACAAGCTGCGCCGCTAGCCCTTTATGGATAGCAAAACCAATTCTTTTGAAAACAACATTTATGGATCTAGGAGATATGATATTAGAATGCATGACCCGTTGGACTCTGCTGAGGAGCTCCACCGCCTCTGGTGCGAGAAAACCAAATGTATCGAATGCAAAAGGTACAAACACATGTTGATTTTCTATACATGCATTCTCGTGCTTTACCACTTTGTACGCAACGACTTTCAAATCGGCATGTCTTGCTGTGAAACCCCCGCTCCCCAAACCAACGAGAGGAGAGACCCCAGTAAGATCCACGCACGCATGCTTCCCTCCTATCCATCCAAAGACCAAAATGTCAGCCGGTCTAAGTGTGGACCTTCCATCCTGCGGGTCCGTCAAAAAGTTCACTGGCGCTTCTTTCTTCGCAGAAATACCAGCACGCCGACAAGCATCAAAGAGAACATCCCGAGCCACATCATGTCTGTACTTGAAACCAGGGACACTTGTAAGAGGGGTAGCCAACTTCCTCAATCTGAAAGAAGACATATAATGACAAATTAAGCAACATATTGGTTTAAAATCACAAAAAAGAAGAAGATAAACATCGTAACTTAGCTTTGGATTCAAAAATTAAAATCCAATGTATTATCTAAAATCTAAACATACCGTACCTCAAAAATCAAAATCAGATACTAAACATACCTGATACCAAAATTACAACCGATTTTAGGGAATACCTTGTTAGTGATGGTGAGGGTGGGTCGTGATGGCCTTGTTGGAAGATGAAAATGAAAGAGCGATGGTTTTTCCGGGTCTTCTTCTCCACCGATGTTGATGTAGTTGTTTTTGCCCCAATAGGTTTGGATGGACTCCTACCGATAGAGTAGTAGAGACATGGTTGATTGTATATTTCACGGAGAAGAGAATAAGGTAGAAGGTGAAAAATTGAATCTTGAAACTTACTTGATAAAGTCGCAAAGAGCGGGATTCAAGGGGTTTGGATACTGATATTGCCATATTTATACATATTTTTAGGCAATATTTATTTACATTTTTATTAATAATTTGGTTATTTGCATAGAATAATGGTACTTATAGGCTTAAATTATATTTTGCAGCCAAATAGAAGCATTTTCGAAGAGAGGGACTAAAGTTGACAAAACATGGAACTTTAGAGGCTTGAAGGAAAGAAGAATAAAAACTCAGCAAAACACGTACTCACGACGTGAGTAACTGAAGACTCACGACGTGAGTGGAGTATTTTAGAAGATATGCACCGGATGAAAGAGTCCTTTTCGAATACGTTTATCTCGTACTCACCACGTGAGGCTTATCGGCTCACGACGTGAACTTGGAAAAATCGGAAAATATATATATCCTTGTCCATTACGACTTGGGGGACTTTTTGGCTACTTGGAGGGCACCTGGAGACGATTTTCAGAAAGAGAAAAGTTCTGGAATTAGCCTTCAACACCAAAGGAGAAGAGAAGTTGATAATTGGATTCTAGTTTTGGTACACTTTAAATATGTTTTTGAATATGATTTGTTTATGTTTGTTTGCTAGTATTTCCAGCTAAATCTAGCTGCTTCTGTTAGCTAGATGAAGCTGGAACTCATGGTTTCAATAATTTAGTTTTGATTTACTAGTTGGTTATGACTTGTGTTTGATTGTTTGAACCTAGCATGTTTGACTTGATATTTGATTGCTTTAAATTCTTGTTCCGTGTAGTTAGTGAATATGAATCTGCATGAATTTGAATACCTAATAATTCAGTGAACACTAGGTTATTAGAGCTGAGATCAAACCAATCTTAGATAAGCAATTGAGTTATTAAAATTAGGCTGTGCTAGAGAACTCATATTATGATCATAAGTGTGTTTGTCAAATTAATCTTACATAGCTCCAATTGCATTTAATAATTGATCTGTGTTAGCTATTGTGTGACCATACATAGATTTACATGAATTAATTAAAGTTAGTAGATTTAGAACTAAATTGCTAATACTATCTTAATTGGTAACCAACAGTAATTGTCATAGCTAATTTATAAACCATTGAGGGAAAGCGGATTCGAACTAACATGAGTGTTTTGTTTACTGATTGAATTTGCGTTAGAAAGTTAAGTTTATCTAAACTTGCAAAATTAGATAAATCCTATTTCTTTGCTAGAAAATTAGGTTAATTTAATAGTAGATAGGTTAATTAGTCAAAACCGTTCCCTGTGATCGACACCCGACTTGCCCGACTATTTCTATAATTTTGACTAGGTACACTGCCTAGGTGCAATATAGTTAGTTAAGTTAGTTAGGTTATAAATATAAAATTAGGTGTAGCTAATTGCACGCATCAAGTTTTTGGCGCCGTTGCCGGGGAACAACTTATTTGATTGTTTATTTATTTGCTTTAGATTGATCGATCCTTTTTGTGGGGTAAAACCTGCAAAAAGTTACTTTTTCAGTTTAGGTTTTTGTTTCAGTACCAGATTCACGATGTGAGCCTTAAGCTCACGACGTGAATTCAGTAGTTTTTCGTTTTTCTTTTCTGTTAGTTTTTCTGCGACAACACGAGGTGGTGACCTTTACCACGTCGTGGTGGCCAGTCAGTAGGCAATTTTTATTTAGTTTTTGTTAAGTTTTACGTTTTTATTTTGTTTATTTTGCAGGAGTTCATGACCAGAGGTTCCAACACACCTTTGGTACCACCACTTGAAGATTCAGAGTCAGCCCTTCACAAAAAGAAGGATAAGAACGTGAAAGAAGATCAAACACCAAAGAAGACACCCTTACAAGAGTTCAAGTCAGTGTTCTCAAAGAAGTCGGGGAAGAAAACGGGAGAATCAAGCTCATCTTCAAAGGACAAGAGCAAGATAGAAAGTTTGGATCCAATACCTAACCCAAACGAATCTGAATACGAGTCCGAGAACGAGTTTGGACTATATACGAGCGAACCCGAAGACGAGCCAAGCAACGAAATGGCGAACATTGAAGAAATGTCAATGGGAGCTTACAAGAAGCGTATTCGAGAAGATGTTGGTCCGGGATTAGTACAACCCACGATTTCTGCCACTGCCACATTCGAGTTGAAGGGACACATCCTTAATGCACTAAAGGATATTCCGTTTTATGGAAAGGATCATGAGGATGCTTTCAAACATCTAGATGAGGTCAATGACATTGCTGACTATTTCAATGTCCCAAATGTTAATAGAGATACGGTCTTGATGAGGATGCTACCAGTTACTTTCAAAGGAGCTGCAAAAGACTGGTTGAAAGCACTTCCACTTGGTACAATCACTACTTGGGCTCAAATGCGTGAGCAGTTTCTAGACCAATTTTGCCCACCATCCAAGATAGCTAAACTCAAGAAGGCAATAGCCAACTTTGAGCAATAACCGGGGGAGTCACTATACGAGGCATGGGAGCGTTACAAAAGATTGTTAAGGAATTATCCTCAACATGACCTTAATATCCAACAAGAGATGTCTATTTTCTATGATGGGGTCAATGTCAACACTAGGCAGCTCCTTGATTCACAAGGCCCTCTCACGAAGAAGAATCTTAACCAGATTAAGGTGCTAATTGAAGAGTTCGCGAAGCATTCTCGTGAGTACCACAACCCAAGACACGATGGAGTAAACGGTAGTGGAGGTGCGCATTCTGAAGAGATGGCTGCTATGATGGCGATGTTGAATAATATGGACCGGAGATTGACCCAAATGGACCAATCAATTCATGCAATAAGAGTTGGTTGTGAGAAATGCAATGGTCCACACTTGACTAGAGATTGCCATTTGGATGAGTATGGGAACAAGAAGGATCAAGTATGCTACTTTGGTGAATGAGAGATTATCCCCCCAATTTCCCGAAAAGAAGACTCATTCCCATGTAATGATGATTGATACTGAAGAAGAAGCCATCTCTGAGTTCTTAGAAGCACTAGAAGTGGAACCAAAGCCATCCGGACCAAAGCCAAAGAAGTCGAAGATTGAAATCGAAGAAGTTGCTGAAGTACCAGACTCACGACGTGAGCCCGATATGCTCACGTCGTGGGCTCAGTCTGAACATAAAATTCCTGTAACTATTCCGACTTATCAACCGCCTTTACCATTCCCGTATCGAGCTAATCTCAGCCCACTGGAAAGGGAACATCTGGAGTTTATCAAGCAAGTAAAGGGTATTCCTACAAATACTCCTTTTATTGAGTCACTATCTAAAATTCCAGAGTATGCTAAGTTCCTTCAAGACGTTATAGACACTCGTCAGCAATTAAAGAAGAACTCCAAAGTTATTCTTAGTGAACAAAGCTCAAGAGTTGTATTAGGGGAAATACCTAAGAAGATAGGAGATCTTGGATGCCTCACTCTTCCATGTGAGTTTGGAAAAAATTTGAAGACTTATGCTTTAGCCGATTCTGGGGCTAGCATAAATTTGATGCCATATTCATTCTATCAAAAGCTGAATATTCAGAAAATGAAGGCTACAAAG